CTATGGTGGGCTCTGCAGGGTCACCCTCAGGTGGGATCTCGAGTGGGCTCTGCAAGGGGTATAACTAGATATCACGGGGCCCCATACAAAATTTTGCTATGGGGCACTGTGATTTCTAGTTAAGCCCCTGCATAAGGTTATATTGTCCACATAAGGAATGTTTATTACTATGTGATGCAGTGCTTGGCAACATGGCAAGGTCATGAATATTTCTGTCTTTAAAAATCTAAAACCTATAAATATATAATTTTCATGTATATGTGTCAAGGTGAGCCCTACAGCCAGTGTTTCATCCAGCAAATGTAACATTTTCAGTGAATTATGACAACCGCTAAAATGAAAGCAGATGTCATTCTTCTGCTTTGTGTTTCTTGAAGTATAGCACATGCTATCAAGGTTAACATTAGGGGAATCAAATCGACAGTTCTGCAGCAGGGAGAAATTGTTGCCCTTTGCTTAACTTAATCCTACTGTTATAGAGTGAATTTAGGAGTGTGGTTGGTGTTCTTCTTAACATTTTTGACTGTAATGATTTATATACACACACAGGCATGTATATATGCTTTTTTTTAAGAGATTGTCAGTTATTTGTTCTCAAGTTTTGAAAATCCACTAATCACATAACACCTCATTTGTGCAGGTATATATTTTCCTTAGCTCTCGTATTTCCAATATTCGATATGCGCTATACTTTTGGATAATACATCATATTGAATATTTGGACAGTGTCTTGTGCAGGCTGTTTTCAGGATTGTGCATGCAAAAATAAATCCTTTCACTGGTCTTTACCCCACCCAATTATTTTCTGGAGTGACTTTACATTTTCCTTGGCCATCACAAACTTGAGAAGTACAAGTACTTAAATCTGAAAAGTATTACAGAATCTGATGTTTTAGCAGCATCTGTTAAAATGTATTTAATGGAGAGGTCAGTAATTATCACATGTGATAATCTATAAAGTACACAAATAATTAAACAACATCTCTGTCCAAAACTGAAAAAAAGTTTTAGTGGGGAACAGTTAAAAAAAAAAAAAGCCTTTCTCAACTTTTTACCCCAGAGAAACCCTTAAAATAATTTTCAGGTCTCCGAGAACTCCTGCTAAAAATATCCACAGATAATGGTACATTAGCAATATCAATATAAATTATGGATATACAATAATAAAGAATATAACATATCTACAGTGTTAAATACTCATGCTGTATTATTTTAACACACACATGCTCCAAAAGAAAAATGGATTTTCAATAATAATTATCAAATAAAAATGAACAACAATGGCCAAAAAAGAAACCGGCATTAGTGGATAAGTTCCTCTTTACATTGGTGTTCAGTGGGAAGAATGCCACACTTACAGACCGCTAAAAAGATCATGGGTGGTATGCCACTGACTGTCATGTTGCCTTGCCCCTGTAACTATTCAGGCACTATCAAATGGGAGATCATTCAGCATCTGCTTAAGGGACCACTAGCAACATCTGGAGAACCCTTGTTGAGAAAGAGTTAGAACTTTTCATTTTTTGTTTTTTTTTTGTAACTAGAGTAGGAGAACGCTTATACTCAGTCAGCTTTATATTGCCGTTTGTGCATTCTGGATCTATTCAAACCATCAGAGGGAGTGAACCCGGAAGTAAGCTTTGTAGATGCAGTCTGAATCTGCGCAAATATACTGTTTACACTAATGGAATAGATGCCATATTGCTACCAGTGAGTGACAGTAAACAGAAATACAGATTTCAGGGTTTTTTTTCCAGTAAAATCAACAAAAAGTGTTTATATCTATTAATAATTCTAGCTCTCCTCCCCTTTAGTTGACCTCTTAATAGGTTCTGCAAGTTAACATTTAGGTCTAACTACATAATAACTACGCATTAAAAGGGAAAGCCGGAGAGACCTGTACATCTTTTGCTATTTTCTGAGTTAGCTATATTACACGTTTGGTGTTTAAAATACTGTATGTGTGTGTTGTTACTCATATAAGTAACTATTGTTGAAAGGTTTTTCAGGTACAATGAAGGGGTGACCTCTTTTGCATCTGATTGCATATTTGGTCACACAGACCCTCAAGATTATAAAGAATTATGTGACACATTATTTATTTTTAAACTGATACTTAAACTCCCTTTTTAATTTCGAAGAGACAACAATACTGTTATGTAAGAGATTCTCTTGCTTGTAACAGTCCTATGTCTGCATTTCTAATTTTTCTTCTGTGTGTTGTTGGTCGCAGGCCTAAAACAAACAAAAATATATATTTGCATCGCCTTACTGTCATTGAGCTGTGCATGCCTGTTTGGCACTGCTGATGCTGTGCGTATAATAAGTACAGTAAAACCTTGGTTTACAAGTAACTTGGTTTGAGAGTATTTTGCAAGACAAGCAAACATTTCTGAAAAATGTTGCCTTGATATACAAGCAATGTCTTGCAATAAGAGCAAAATTTTGTAGAAAAGCGCCACCCGAATAAGGCTGTAGCAGTGCGAGCGATGAGTCTGTTTAACGACAACGCAATGTCACATTGGATAGATTCCTTGCTAAGGTTTTCATGAAATGAAAAAGATTCCGTTGAGCCAAGAGATAGCAGTGATTCCGTTAGTGATAGTGAAAGTCGTCCTGCACAATAATCCTCCTCTCTCTTGTCCCCCTCACACCAGCCACATAGGTACCTGTAATTGGTTTATTTGTCTTTATATTTTGAATTATATATTATAGTACAGTACTGTATTGTAATCCTTTTTATATGAATATTTTTGGGTTGTGGAACGAATCATCTGAGTTTCCATTATTCGCTATGGGGAAATTCGCTTTGATATACAAGCGCTTTGGATTACAAGCATGCTTCCGGAACGAATTATGCTCGTAAACCAAGGTATTACTGTATATGATTTGCAGCATTAGTAGAGAAACCTCTAACAGGGATGCTGAGGATGCCAGTTAACATAATCCCCTTCCTTCCTCTCATGAGAGTCATTACTCATGAAGGGACAATTATTGAAGTTGCCAGGGAAGTTCATATGCTTATGCAGGAATTGGGCAGATCTAAACAAGTATAAAACAAATATTAACCTCCCTAATTTTTCACATATTTACAGGGTCGCCCACATATATAGTGTACTATTGCCTAAATTGAGAGACTTTTAGACTTGTAGGTTTTTAAAGTAGAACTGATTAAAAAAAAGCTAAGATGTGCTATGTTATGGTAAACATTTAGAAATGTTAATTGTGTCAGGGCAGTGCCATGAAAAAATGACCGTTTGTCTTGAACTCTTGTAGCTACTGCCTTTCAGTTGTATATTTGCAGTGTGAAATCTTCCTCTTGTCTCAGGATATTTGGAGTGAGATTTGGTGATGTCTCCACTGTGCTACTCACTGGTCTCCTTGCTGGTGGCTCTGAGGAAGCAAAAATCTGCCTCTTCCAAGATGCCCACATCCCACATAGACATAGTGTAAAATAAAGTGGGGGAAAGATCTGCCGGGAGACCACAAGCAATACTTTCAACTTTGCCCTCAGCCTGCCTTTTATTGGGAATAGATTCCAGAATTCAGTTCCTCTTCAATATTCTGCTTTGCCCAGCGTTTCCCTTGACTGTAATACACTGTAGATAAAAACAAATGATAAAGCGCACTCCTGTGAGGACACACTTCAGGAATGTGGATAATGTGAAATGGTGTGCACTGCTCCTCAATACAGGGAGAGGAGCCCTGTAGATCACAAACACAATATAAAACAAAAAGGCTGAGGAGCGCAACTACCTAGGTGCGTGCTACTAAACTTGGTAGGCTAACAATAAACACCCATATAGGTGGTGACTTACTTTACAGTTGGAGTGTCAGCAGGTATATCTGAAGTGGATTGGCATCCAGAGTCTTTCTGTTCCAATGACGAAAGGTGAGGGACTGACTGTTCCTGAACCGTGGATGCGGTAATGTTGTGTGTCAGTATTCTACGTCTGGGGGAGAGAGTGACACAGAGGGCAATGTCGGCAGTCGGCTACGCGTTTCGAGGGGTTCCCTATTTCAAGCCTCAAGGTAGTAAAGACCCTGGGAAGCCGGTCGTCTTTTTAAAAAGTAACGGGGGAGGAGTAAACATTCAATTAGCCCGGTGATAGGCTGCTGCTCCAAGATGGGGATGGGCTTATAACCTGGGTTCATCCAGGGGACAAACTGTCGGCATATTAACGAGCAGGATTACGACACCTGTTATAAGATACTGCCAGATCGAGAAAGTTGGGATGGACATACAGGACAATTCTTATTAGCATAACGTGTTTCTCGGAGCCTCCATGGAATATTTTGCCCAGACAGTATGGACATATCGAATATGAACCTGCATGCAGGTGCATCTGCAACACTTCATTTGTGTTGTTAAAACCAGAGATATATTGAGAACTGAAGCAAAAAAAGGGGGGAAAGGTAATGTACTTTTTGTATATAATGAATCGACTAGTGATTGCATATTTGAGCACCGGTCTAAAGAATGGTGTGGATTTCAATTTCTTCATTTAGCCCCGCAGGTGTCAGGGTGTTTAGTTTGTAGATCCAGAACGTTTCTCTACTGCACAAACGATGAAACCTTTTGGATGGCGATAAGTGTGTGGAAATGTGTTCAATTGCAAACACCCTAAGAACCTGAATTCTTTTTTGGTACGTGTGCCTGCAATCTCTTAACGCATCCATGGTTCAGGAGCCGTCAGTCCCTCACCTTTCCTCATTGGAACAGAAAGACTCTGGATGCCAATCCACTTCAGATTTACCTGCTGACACTCCAATTGGAAAGTAAGTCACCACCTATATGAGTGTTTATTGTTAGACTACCAAGTTTAGTAGCAAGCACCTAGGTAGTTGCGCTCCTCAGCCTTTTTGTTTTATATTGTAATACACTGTAGCTGCATGAGAAAAATAAGAGGTTTTCTTTGACTTTTCCTTAGGTAAATTTGCTCATTATATTTGAATGACATACAGTATGTGAGGTAATCCATAGATATAATATTTCTATGTAAAAAACCAAGCCGTACGGTTAAAAAAAAATGATCACAGTATATAGGGATCACTAATTCTTGTTTGTTTACATTTTCAGGTAGTCGAGAATCGGCTTTTGTTTATGCCATCTCTTCTGCTGGAGTTGTTTTTGCTATTACTAGGGCATGCAGTCAAGGAGAGTTGAAGTCCTGCTCATGTGATCCCAATAAAAAAGGTTATTTTAAAGATATCAGAGGCAGCTTTGACTGGGGTGGCTGCAGTGATAACATAGACTATGGTATCAAGTTTGCTAGAGCATTTGTAGATGCGAAAGAAAGAAAAGGAAAAGATGCCAGAGCTTTGATGAACCTTCATAACAACAGAGCTGGAAGAAAGGTACATATTTACTTCTATCTATTATCTACTGTATTTGGCAGTGTTTGTTGCTTATGAGCGTGGTATAGCAAGTAGTTATTCCCCTGTGCTAATACACGGAAGAGTCTGAAGCAAGGGTCAACTTTTAAAGTGGATTGCATACATTTAACCCCTTCGTGACTGACGACGTACAGTGTACGTCGCCAGCATCGGGGCTGTTTAATTTCAATTGTAATAACTCCTATTCTGTGGATGACCTGTGTGTTAAAAAAAAGCATAAGGCCCCTTTTAGAGGCCATCACCTTTTGACTTTTCTAGGACCCTTGTCAGAGTGCTTCCTGTTACAAGTCTCCACCTGGATTATACTCCCAGTCACTACTCACTGGCTTGTGTGATGGTGATCCACAGCTAAAATAGGAGAAATCATTCCATGTGATAACTATATCTGGCTGCTTCACAAATCCGACCTATATAGATGAGTGACAATAAGAAAGCCATTTCTGATATAAAACAAAATTAACTCTTTAGGATTTTGCCACACGATATATGGGAAATGTAGCAAAAATTGGGGAGAAATTTCCTCTACAGCCTGATGGGATGAAAACTTAATGAGGGGAATATATCAAAACTGGAGCAGCCAAAATCTGGAGCAACTGCACGGCAACCAATCAGATTCTCTATCATTTTCAAATCTTAACTGAACAAACTGATGAGAGAAGCTGATTGGTTGCCATGGGCCACTGCTCCAGATTCTGTCTGCTTCAGTTTTGATAAATTTGCCGCAATGTTTTGGATGAAGTGCGGAAAGCTTACAATGCTCATAACCTAGTTAGATGATGTTAAACATAGTTTAGTTGGCGCAAAATGTGTTTCAGTCTGCTAGAGACCTGAGCCTGGGGCACGAGTTCCCCTACCAGCAGTAAAATGACCCTAAACACAGCCAAAGCTACATTGCAGTGATTTAAAACCCAGATGGTGAATGTCTCAGAATGGGCCAATCAAGAATCTAAATGAGAATCTGTGGCAAGATTTGAAAAGAATGTGAATTATATTTTTAGATTGTAGTAGTATTTATTATAGACATCCACATAGTTAATGCATAATAATGAAGATAATGTTTATGATCTTTGTATTGATAATTGCCTCTTCTGTCCTTGTGCTTTAGGCTGTTAAGAGGTTCATGACACAAGAATGCAAATGCCATGGAGTAAGTGGCTCATGTACTTTAAGGACATGCTGGCTAACTATGGGGGATTTTCGAAAATCGGGAGACTTCCTTCGTAAAAAATATAATGGGGCTATACAAGTTGTTATGAATCAAGATGGAACAGGCTTTACTGTGGCAAATAAAAGATTTAAGAAGCCTACTACCAATGATCTAGTGTACTTTGAGAATTCACCTGACTACTGTATCAGAGACAGGGATGCTGGTAAGTTGTATAAAAATCAATATTTTTGTTGAAAGAAAAGAAGAATCATGTATTGCCTATATGTCTTACATTAACCATTCCATGCTATGTGTTCATTGAACATTGTGAACATCATCCTAATTTTAACCTTCCTACCTAGTAACTCACTTACCTTGAACAAGAAAGCAACTGGTGTGGGGTTAGAGTTGCTGAAATCTTGTTCCCCATGCTTATTACAGGTCAGCAACTAGCTGGCTGGGGAAACAAGTATCACGATGACAACCCTAAACCCTGCATCTTTAAAAAAACAAATCCGTAATGGCAGGCCCCATCTCTTATCCAAACCAATATTACATTACAGACCATGTAGTGGACGTTACTGAGTGGGCAAACAATGTTTTCTTGTAACTAGGGATGCACCGATACAAGCATCGGTATCGGCCGCGATACCGAGTATTTGCGTGAGTACTCGTGCAAATACTCCAATTGATAAAACGAGTACCTGTGCCGCGTCCGCCATCTTCAGGGACCCGAATCCGCCGCACACAGGCCCTCCATTGCGTCTTCAATGAGGCAAGATGGCCGCGACCTCCTCTGTCATCTGCTCCATCCTGACCTCTTCTCCCGCTGATTGGCCGATTAGGCTGATGGCAATTTGAGGCTGATGGCAATTTTCCAGTAAATTGAATTTGTGTTAGCTCAGCCCTCGTGCAGCTTGCCGAGGATGCTCCTTATGTGATTATGTGACCTGGCAAATACTGTACCATTATCACTATCATATCTCCCTCTCATTTTCTGGTGTAAACTAGCAAAGATGTTTGGTTGTGATAGTCAACAGACCTTTTCTTCCTGTACAAACAGGTGCTTATCACTTGTGGGGAAGAAATAGCAATGCATATTCAGTGCCTTGATAGCTTGAATACCATTTGTATTTGGTTTCACAGCAGTATCTAATAAGAAATAACATTTTAAAGCCCAACACCGTGCTATTAATTCAATTTCCTTCCCTATTTGCCCTTTTCCGTTAAAGAGCTTTTATGCTGTTATCCTACTGCAAGCATGTACAGCTTCCCATGTATTTCTGGGCTATCGCCCACTTCAACGGGCCTTGCATTACAGTTCCAATGTTGTGTCTCTGCCCACTATTATTGTTTCCCTGTTCACTAAGCACAGCTTAAAATGTCATAGGAAAAAGGGTTATAGATGACTTGAACTGTAAAAAAAAAAAGCATGGTGCCCACAGTTGGGCTTTAAGGTGGCCACTACAAAAATGGACTGTGAATCTCATTTATCCAGTGTGGGGTCCCGAGAAGTTTTGAAAACTTTGCTCTGAACCAATTTTTAGGCAGCGGTGTGTCAAATCCCTTCAACAAAAATTTGTAGGATTCTTAAGTACATTGGTTCGCAGGACCATTGCTTAATAAAAAAAAAAGAAAGAAAAAAGGCTCAATTGATCTATTGGAGAAATGAAACGGATACATAATTTACCCCAGTACAAGATTTAAAACTGAAAATGAAATCATGTACCCTGAGTGAGCATTACTATTCACAATGGAGAGCAATGACATAATGTTGCTGCTATAGGGACCTACTTTTAATGAACAGCTATTATACACAAGATCATTTTTTTTTTTGGTCAGATGATGTGACGTACTTATCGTCCCTAATGGAAAAAGCAGTTTCCAATGTTAGATATCAGTGTGGTGACTTCACTCTCAGAATCCACATCTTTCTGTATATCAGGGCTTGAAATGTATTGATTACAATGTCAGATTTACATAGAATGAGCTGATGTAGAGAGTGCACTTAAGGAATGAAATAAGCAAAGATGCACTTAACCTGATTTTATAATGTTCCTCTCAGACTCTGCTATTTTCTCTGAATTTCAATTGTACGTCTGGTATTAACTGTTCGTATAAGGTCACTTTGAAAGGAATGACGTCTTTCTATGATTTAAAAGAAGTGCTTCATTCTGAAATGTTTCCTTTGTGCTATCTTAGAATTCTGTTTACAGTAAGCATTGATATACCCAAGCTATTACATGTGACACTAAGGGGGCCATTGAACTGAAGTTCACTATAGCATCCTTTCTCAACCAGCCTTCTGGCTTCTACAGGGGTGCTTTCACACAGCGTCATGACTTTCCATGGTGCAGGTGGGCCATTCTCCTCCCTTTGCACTCTGCCACTGACCAATGTTGGGGGTGTTAGTAGTACTGCCACTAGCACCAATGCTGGGGTTATTGTTGTGTCCAGTGACATTATTGCTGAGGGTTTTTTTTTTTTTTATTGTGTCCACTTACACAGTAATGCAGGGGGTTATTATTGCATCCGCTGGCATTAATGTTGGGGGTTTATTGCGTCCACTTACACCAATGCTGGGGATGTCTATTGCAGCACCTGACACCAATGTTGGGGGTAATACTGCCACTACACCACTGATAGGCCTTTTTTTTACTCCCACTTTATTTTCTGTGTGAGTTCTGAATGCGCTGCCTAACTCTAGACGTGTGAGGGCCCACATTTGATATCAGAAAAGCATGTTAAGCTTGATGAAGGGTACTCTGCACGGCCCCAAAACTTTGCAATTTTTGATGTGACAAATATGCGTGAATCAAAGACGCTTTATTTTTTAACACTATCCACTGGTGTGCTGGTGATATTTCTGATAATACAGTGTTAAGTGCGGCGCCATTCGCAGTCTCTTCAGCAACCATCTATCAGCACAAGGGGCATTCAATAAGGAGTGCGGCAGTTACCTACAGTTAGGGGCCACATATAATTCTCTATTTCAGGGGTAGGTAACCGCCGCACACCAGCTGTGATGAAACTACAAATTCCATCATGTATCTGCCTTTAAGAGTGATGCCTGTGGCTGTCAGAATCTTGCAATGCCCCATGGGATTTGTAGTTCTACAAGAGCCGAAGTGCTGAGGTTGCCTACCCCTACTCTATTTGCCCACCTGCGCTACTTCTATAATAACACTTGTTTTAAAATGATCACTGGTCAAACTGGGGGGAAAAAGTATTTTTATGATGATGTTGTTTTTTTTCTCTATTTCTCATGGAAGGCAGTATCACCAAAACCAAAACCTTATTTGTACCAAGAAGCAATAAATGCCTAACAAGCAAGGCTTTTTTTCTTTTCTTTTGGCACCAATGTTGGAAGGGGTATAGAAAATATGGCTGCATTGATACTGGATATTCAAGTCATTACCTTTTTAACATTGTTACTGGTATTTCGAATAGCCTTTTATGATATTTACACACACACACACTGGTGGTAATTTAATAAAAATTATTTAATTTGTTGCATACAATGCTAGAGATATCCTTGGCTGCTGATATCCATAAGCTGTGGGGAGAGTTCTTATGAGAGGAATGGCTCTACAATGTACTGTACTACAGGGTCTTTCAGTGCTTTGTATTTGGGTATAATGTTATTTCTGGGGAAGGTGCAGAAAACATGCATAAGAAGTTGATGGATCTGTTTTAAGGGACAAATTAAATGTTGAATGTGTTCTTCATACTTTTGTCGTCTGTATTATACTCTACTGCATTTGGAACATCTGGACAGAAAATGAGTTTACAGCCTGAGTCAGTCAGTCACTCTGTCTCCTCCTATCCAATGACCCATTCAGGCCCATTCACCCATTTCTGGCTGAGCTAGTGATATTACGTTCTTATAACTATTTTCTACATGTCTTTTGGAGATTCTGAGATATACCTTTGGGTGAAATTTTAAACTAGGCTTACTAAAAACAGGATTGAGTTAGAGCTGTGTGGATGGTGCTGTGGGACATCTTATTCTTTCTATGTAGTATAAAGGCAGATTGGAATATCCACTTTGAACATGGAGGTATTCTACAACCATAAGTGAATGTAACCAAACTGGACATGCACTTACTAAAGCACCTACTCTCCGCAACCCTCTCCTAAATTATTAGCTCATCACTCTAAACACTTTTCTACTACATCATATGCTCCCCATGCTTTGCACTATCTTTTCTTCCACCACTTTTTCATCTCATATTTGTTTACTCTGCACTGCTAAATTCGTTGTATTCTAACTTCTCTGGAACACCCTTCTAAAGTCTCCACAACGATGTCATTGCATCCTTGTGCTTTGTTTACAACAAACCTGCCAATAATGGATTGATACCAGCCATTGAATGGCACCACAATGCACAAATGAACCATCTGTGTTGTAGTGCACTTTTCTTAGAAAAAATGTGCATGTGCATTAAAACCTGCATTGTGACACACTGACAGTGCAATACAAATGAATGGGCTGCTTAAACACAATGCACAATAATGTTCATTAATGCACTGAAACAGCGTGAGGCCGGCTTTGAGCTTGTATTGAGTTTTGCCAGGTTAACCAGAGCATAAATTGATTTGGTCAGATACATTTCTGCTGATATTTATATGTATAGGTCTATTTGTGGGAAACAGGGTGTGTGCTTTAGTGAGTAAAATGTACATTTTTATGAACTGTAAAGTGTTAGGTGCCAAGTCCTTCTGTTAAATCATATAAATAAATTGTGCTGCTTTCCCTCCCACAACTTTGCACAGGATATAACTGTTAATTGCCTGTCTACGTCACACTAAATGGTGGTCCCATTTCAGCAGCAAAATAAATTGTTTAACAGTCTATATGTTAGCAGTATATAATGTGGGGGCTTTTGGACAAAGTAACTGAGAAAAAACCCTCAAATGTTTCAAGATAATCATTGCATAGTTTAGACATCATAATGTTTCTTATACTAGTGACAACTACAAATGATAAAGGGATTATCAGGGTGCTCACATCAGCAGGTTTTTCAGGGAGAAAGATGTACTTGGCTCCACAGGGAGCCTATTGTGTGTGTGAATTAATTCTGACCTAGTGGCGCCAGCATGACCTGGCACATAGTGTCCAGCTGAGAGTTCCATAAGATTGGTAATAAGCTTCGCTGGTCCGCGCTCCAGCCAGAATAGCGCTAAATGAACCCGTACAGGAGTTCCATGAAGGAGTTCAGA